ATTGATCTATTCTGTGGGGTCCTTTGTTTAAAACTGACCTGTGGGATGAAATTGTACCCTTTGGACTTCCTAATATAGCTTATTGAAGGAACATCACTGGAATCAGAGGAGTAAGCATAATACGATGGTTGGAAAAATGCAATAGAAGTTTTCTGACACTGTCAATTGTTCAGAATACCTTTTAGATATGATCTGTCACAGAAAGGTCATGTCCTGGCCTGAAAAGTCACTTTCTAAGGCATTTGGTAGTCTCCTTCTTTCATGATAAGAAAGGTGGAGCTTCAACTCCTATTGATTTTGAGGATCATAGGGAAGAAAGTGTCATTTCTTAGGAATGTTTGACACAAGTTGGGAACTACCAAAATACCACTAATTTATGTTTAGCGCTTATTAGAATTGAAGATCCATGGCTGCATATCTCATGTGCAACTTTTGTACATTTATCAATATTTCTATCTGATAGAATCTCCCCCACCCCCTTATTTTAGCTTTATATTTAAACCTCCCCAATCTGGTGCAATCCCAACATCCTAGGCCTGTGCCTATATATATTTTTTGCCATTATGGGCAAATACTCATGGAACAGCCTTCTGATAGTAATTTCCTCCCCACCCCCCACCCCCTTAGCTTGACTTCTCTCATTTTCCATTTTTGTGTTCAATTCAAATTTGCTTCCTTGGACTCAAGAATTATTTTTTAAATTATGAACTCAAGTTTATAAGAATTCTGGCAGATCTTTCTCCAAATATCTGTCTTGTTCATTCGGTTGATCATACACTTTTTGTTGCTGAAATCCTTAAATGAATTTATCCTTCTATGGGATATTCGTGAGTATATACATTTTTACCAAAATTTCTTAAATATTTCTTGCTTTTATTCTCAGTGAATAGCATGGTGAAATGGAAATAAGAATATAATCTGAATAGCTGCATTTTTTTTTTTTTTTGGTGGTGGTTTTGCTCAGACTTGCACATAAGTTGACCATTAAATGGAGACTAATTTACAACTTCTCTTTTATATGAAGCTGCTGAAAGAAGTCATTAAGGGAATTTCCCAATCAAGTGCCCAGTTGGGCACTTGAGCATCTGTTGACTTTGGACAAGCTGGGTAATTTTGTTCTTTGTCATACAATGAGTATATAATATTGTGTGTAAGAAAATGAAATAATCTCTTGTTTATACATTGGAATTTGTCTAGTGGATTGAGATTTATTATTTGCAAACCTGTGCTAAAGTTATAAAAAATTGAATGATCTCAGACTCTTTTCCATTACAATGTGCTTTATGGCAGGGCTGCCCACTTTCTCCCTTGCTATTTCATTTGGTTCTTGAACCTTTGGCCACCATGTTAAGTCAATCTTTAGATATTAAAGGTATTACATTGGCAGAGTGTGAGTATAAACTATTTCTGTATGTTGGTGAAATTTTGGCAATTTTTGATCAGTATTCTAATTCTTATTCTAATACATCAATACATTTATGTGAAGAGATGGGATTTGTGATTTCTACAGATTTTATTAAATATTTGGGGCTGTTTATACTGGAAAATATTTCTAAATATGTAGAAATAAATATGTTGAAACTTTTAGAAAGGGTTGAAATAGATGTTAATAGTTACCTTAAGATTCCTTTGAACTGGATCTTTTCAGTTCACCACAGTAGAGGCATCTTCAGCTTAAGCATGCTGTAATGGATCAAGATACCTGGAGTTCTTTCTTTCCACATGATAAGGTCATGAAATCAATGAATATCTTTTGGGGACAGTATATTAATGTATATTAGTAGATTTATGGGAAATCTACTAATTCATCAAGGGTATTTCCCAGTTGGGCACCTAAGCATCTGTTGACTTTAGACAAGCTGGGATATCTTGTTCTTTGTCATACAATGAGTATATAATACTGTCTGTAAGAAAATGAAATAATCTCTTGTTTGTACATTGGAATTTTAAAGATGTTAACGTAATGCTGAATTTTGTACCACAGCTTTGGAATTTTACTCTTTATCAAGAACTGTGCTTGTACTGAGCATGGGGATGGAGGTGGCAAAACACTGGGAAAGTGATATTATTCCAGATGTCAAGGAACTTTTTTTTTTTTTTTGAAATGTGTGATCTATCTGTTTTGGAAATGTCAATATTTTCTACCAATCAAAGGATGCAGCAATATGTTATTATTTATGCAGGATTAAAGCATTATGTCCTTTTTCTCACTGTTTCTGCATAGTTTGTCTAAGATTATCTCTGTGACTCTACAATTTGAAGCCGCCTATTATATTTCCAGGTAAAGTTAATAGAGAAATATAATTGAAGACTTGCTTTACATATCCATAATGACTATATTGCTGAGTACGTAATATTAACCCAGGGATATTTGAAAGTCCACTATCCCCTTAACCTCCTGGATATTTAAGATTCTATGGCTATAAAAGTTGCACAATTAATGGAGAAGAAGGGAAATTGTTGAGAAAAGTGTCCACTAAGATGTAGAACTTCAAATTCCTAATGTTTCCTCCCCCCAACACTTGCCAGAATGGGATCTCACCTGTATGAGACTAAGATTATACTTTGCTTAATTTCTCCATTTTAATCCGCATGAAAAGGGCTGGAACTATGCTATTCAAAATCATAAATTGTAGGCACAATGGTTGGAGACTCATGGGAAATCAGAGACATATTTCTTCAGAGACTGTATCCCAAATTACAGGAGAAAATGAACAACATTTCTATGATGCAATCTGTCAGAACTGCTTTAAATGTTAAGGACAACATTTTTGAAGTAGATGGAATTTTCTCAAATGCAGGCTGTATCGGTTTCTATGGACACTTCATGGCTGATTTGATAGCAAGACGGAGTAAAAGAACACATGGAGAAGGGATGAAATGGTAAGGAACCGATTGATGAAAAACTCAAGACAAGTTCCACAGAGATTTATGCTGTTGATTGTTAGAAAAAGCACACAAGGAAAAGGATTCTTCTGTATTGGTAGTTTAGAATTATTCACACACACACACACACACACACACTATAGACCCTTAAATTCATACACACAGATATATGTTAGATTGTACAGCTTTTGTTTTAATACATAAATCTGAAGTATTTTGAAGAATCCATCCATTGAAACATGAAGATCCCTTTTGGGGACTCAGAATTTCCACTGATAAATTTAAAAATAGAATAGTTGTCTGGCTGAAATGTATGTTCTGCAGGAATCCAATGCTGCTATTTTTATTTCCGATTAAAATGGAAGGCAAAATCTTTTGGTACCTCTTGGTCTCTTTCTCTTTTCCCCCACATCCAATAACTTACATCTCATTATCATAATTATCATATCATAGAGAATGTGGTTTTGCAGCATAACAATACTTCCAAACAATCCAGAATCCTGGCATCCATAAGAAAAAAACATAAGTACAGTAAAAATCCTGGACAGAATTAGAATGAGCAGAAGGATATGAAATCATATCTAATGAAACCCCAAGGTTTCTTTCTGTTCTCCAACTCATTTTTAAAACCATTCTGCACATTTCTGATGTTTTATTATTTCAACAAAAAGGTATTTAAATTAAAGAAAGAAGGATTGGACTGAAGAAAGTAAGATGTCCCTCTGTTACTGATGAGGCTCTGAACTTGTTATTCCCAAGAAAGACAGGGTGTTTGCATGTGGAAATCTACTATTTGTGTAGTTTCTGATAGTGACCCAGTGCCATTCAGATTATTTGGGGGGACTCTGGGAAACATATTTAATAATTTTTTTAAACCATCAGGGTTGGTGCTTGGCAACTGGAGACCACCAATGTCATTATTCATGCATAGAGTGACCCAGTATTCTTCTTTCTTGACAATATCAGAAAATCCACAATTTCATATCCCACACCCATTCTTTTGCTGTGTTTACTATTTTGTTTTCTCTTCTCTCAACCCAACGTCCGTGTTCTATGTCAATATGAAGTTCTATCTACCAAAGTTTTCTTTCTTCTTTTTCATCATCTTCCACCACAACCTGCATTTTATGCTTCAGGATGGAGTATCTCCATGCCTATGTGAAGAATGTTTTCATATAAAAATAGGAGACTCTTTCATTGAGATTTCATTGAATGCATGGTGGGTCATCCAGCCTTTGGACATGAGAATTGGAGATAAGAAAAACCATTATTTCTGCATGTAAGACTTGATGGGAACTTGCAAAAGAAAAGGAAATTCTGATTTTTAAGTCATTCAAGGTAAGGTAAGATAAAATTATTTATTTGATTAATGATCAGAACAATAGAACAAAATTTTACAACAGTAATATAGCATAATAAGCTAATAGGTTATAAAAACAAAACAAAAAAAACTCTAATGACACAACCCATAATATAACTCACTCTGGTTATCAAGACATCCAAAAGCGTATGACCTATTGCCTTGACTGATCCTTAACATGTTCTAGAAATATTCCTAAATGGAAGCTCCATCATTTCAACTGTCCACCTTGATTAACTTTGCATGCAACCCATCAGTTCTGCAAATATAACCTTGATATAGTTAATTCAATCTGGAATGTCACATTCAGACTGTCTTTAAATTCTAATCTGACCTAGAAAGTGCAGTTCCCTAAAATGTTGTTATAACTTTAAAGATTTCACAACCTCCAGCAGACCAGTTCTTCTCCTCACACTAACCCATGATGGGGTTTCTTTGGTTTTGACCATATATTTTGTGGGATTCCACAGATGGATCTTTAGAAATCATGATTTTGGGTTAAATATCTTCTGTGATCCCAGCCAACCTCATCATACTTAACAAGAATTTCAGAAAACTTTAGCAACTGTTAGCCTTTTTCATAGCACACCTTTCCAAACATGCTATTAGCATAAGAAATAATTTAAAGAAATAGACCTAAAGGTTAAATCAATTATAATTCTGATTGTTTTGGTAGCTAAAGGGGAGAATGGATTTCACCAACTGTACAAGACCGGCAGAGTTCCTCCTTGTTGGATTGTCAAAATTTGGGAGAATGGAAACCATGATGTATGCTAGTGTCTTTCTGCTCTATCTCCTGTCTCTGATGGGCAATGGGCTCATCATTATGATGGTAATCATGGATCGCCATCTCCAGAAACCCATGTATTTCTTCCTTAGCAACCTTTCTTTCATAGACATTGGACATACCACAGCCTTTATTCCTAAACTGTTGCTCAATTATCTCTCTGCAAGCAATTCCATCTGTTTTTATTGCTGTGTAATACAGTTATGCTTCTATTTCCTTTTTGGGGTTACTGAATTTTTCATCATCACTTTGATATCCCTGGACAGATACTTAGCCATTTGCCATCCTTTGAGATATGCCACTATCATGACTTCTGGGGTCTGCCTTAAACTAGCAGTAGCAGCCTGGTTTGGAGGCTTTTTGTCCATTCTTTGTCAGGTTGTAATGATTGCAAACCTACCCTACTGCACCTCCAACATTATCAATCATTTCTTTTGTGACGTGGGACCTGTGTTGAAGATTGCAGGAGGAGATATACGTCTTATTGAAGCCCTTGGTTTCCTAGTTTCTGTTTTTGTGATCATGTCCTCCCTGCTTTTCACCCTGATTTCTTACCTCTTCATCATCTGCACTATTCTCCGAATGTCTTCAACCACCAGACAGCAGAGGGCCTTCTCCACGTGTGCTTCCCATCTCATAGTAGTTAGCATTTTGTATGGATCAGTGTTTTTTGTCTACTTAAGGCCAACTGTCAAGAACTCTTCCTTCAGGGTAATGAAGGCTGTCTCCATTGTGTACACTATGATCACCCCTGTGCTCAATCCTTTCATCTACACCATTAGGAACAATGAAGTGAAAGAGGCTGTGCAGAAAATGATAAGAAGAAAGATTCCTAAATCTCTAAGTATTCCCCTGCGTTAAAAGGAATGGGAAGTGATTCCATTTTCAAACAGATTTCTTGTAGATGAAATGCAAACCTAATCTGTCTTTTGAAGGACTCCTCTATTTGTACGTATTCTGTCAAGTTGGGGAGTGCCAAAAATATCAATCAAGATTGTTGAGATATTTCACCTTGCCTACCATAACAAAGAGGGAATCAGTGAGTAACATTTAAGTGGAAGGCAATAGGGGTTTTTTTCCCTTTAATGTGAGAATTATTGAGAAGCATCTGCAAGTACTGTATAACATAAAATTAAATACTGATGATCAGCTGGGTTTCATGACATAGTACTGAGACAGCATTAACCATGCTTGCAAGTGTCAAAGCTGGGAAGGCATGTTGCAATCATCCTGATTCTTCTTCAGCTCCTAGCATCTTTGAGTACCATCAATCATGGGATCCTTCTGGACTGCCTACAGAGATTAGAGTGCTTGGAGGAGGCATGAAGCTTCACATATACTTCTCATTTTTCTATGGTTAGTTCCAGCTGGTGTTGGCAGCAGTGAAGACACCAAGCCTGAAGCCTCTGATGTTTGGAATGCTACACAGCTTGACACTCCCACCCCCTTGTTTAACATCTACATGAGGCAACTGAGTGAGGTCATCTGTCAGTTTGGATCAGGTAACATTCAGCTGCATATTTCAACCCTGGACCAACCAAGTGATGTTTTCAAGGTCATGTCTCATTGGAGATCTAAATGGGGAGAAACGGACTCAGGTTCAACCCTAGAAAGACCAGCTGGCTGGGGATATTTGGACCATCTTGTCCCAGATATTTTTTACTCCCAAATAGGGTTGTACTTCCATATTTGGGACAGGTGAACAATTTGTATTTGCTATTTTGTTTTGAACTGTTTTCGATAGTGTGTACCGCCAAAAGTTATTATGGAGTTGGGCAACCTTAGAAATTCAATCAATCAATCAATCAATCAATCAATCAATCAATCAATCAATCAATACCAATTCATGTTTCCTAAATATATGCCTTCTTCATTTGCACAATTATGCTTTTTTTATAAAGGATTCCCTAAAATAATATATTCTTAAACAGTAGTTTTGAGAAATGTATATTCCTGCAGCTATTTTCGGAATGTTTCTTCCTTTTACTGTGGGCCAATGGAAGACGAAATGCAGAGATTTTAACATGTTGGTTCAAAAGTCCAAAACTGTACAAGTTTTCAGTCAAATGGACACTCCATACATTTCTTCCTCATTCTAGGTGTTGGGGCAATTGAAGAAGGACATTTCTGTCCACCCAATGACCAAGTTTGGACATTTGGTGATTTCACATAAGATGGGGCATCATGTGCTGAATCATGGTGTATTGGTTGTGTACTTTCAATAAAATTTATTTTTTTAATGGTTTTTAATTTGCTTCTTATTTTTGATGTTGTATATACTAAAACAATATAGTGTAGTGGTTCAAGCAAAGATATTTAGAAATCACTCATTCTTCTCTATAATTCTTCATATCCTAGTAGCACTACATATAAAAAGGAGTATCCTGATCTGAATTTGCCAAATGCAGCAATTGCTACGTGGCTTTTATGCGGGGAGAAAATGGAAACCAGAAATCTCTGGGAATTAGAGTGGAAAAAAGAGTCGTCGAGAGGGCCAAGATTGATTCTTACAAGCACATTCTTCTTACATGGCCCAAGCATCTAGGTATAAGGGGGATCTGCAGATCGGGGAGAACTTAAATATTTGCACAAGTATAGATGTTTCAAGGGGAGGAAGCCTGAATGGACAGCTATAAAAATAAGAATTCAAGCACAGAGAACAATAAAGCTTGGGAAAGTGATGTATGGAAAAAAAAAAAGGGGGGGGGAGGGATTCAAATTATTGTGGGGAAGTCATTTTCTTTCAAGATGTTTTCCAGCCTATGTATGTATGTATGTATGTATGTATGTGTGTATGTATTTATTTATTAGGTTAGCAGCCTCAGTCACCAGAGAAAGTTTAGGCAGTATCCAAAGACACAAGAACAATTTAAACAGACTAAATCTAGCCCAAAACAAGCAAATGGACATTTCTTGGGTCAAGCTGGGTGGACTATCTGAGCTAATACCATACATTCAGCGATGTTGCTTAGAGCAGTTCATTGAAATTGGAGAGAAGTGTGACTATATATCCCAGTTGTGTCCTTCTTTATTATCACATGTTCATAAACATTCAGATCCGATGGTACCTTCTTCTTCTTCTCATCTTTAAATTAACTTCCCCAACCTGGTGCCTTCCAAACAATTCAGGCATTGCAGAATTCTTCCTTCCACATGAGCACATCCTTCTTGGCTGAAAATCCTACCTGTTATATTGATGGGGACTTTTTGCCCAGGTGGGTTTCTCTTATTCCTTCCTTTGGTGGGAACATTTGAAATCCTGTTTTTTTAATTGGAGAATAATTTTTCAAATTATGAACTGAAGCTTTCTCCAAGTGTAGCCTGTGTACATTTGCCTACAATATCATTTGGTTAAATAAGTTCTCGAAAAGAATGCATACTTATATATTATGTTCATACAATTGCTCTACATTTTTATAAAAGATCTGTTTACATCCTCATAAAATCCCAGAGTTGAAAGGGACATTTAGGCCATTGAATTCCACCACTTGCCTTCACTTTGGACCAAGAATCAAAACTTAGGTATCCCAAAGGAATACAATCTGTTGAGTGTTCCTTGATTTTATTATGGGTAATGAGAAATGAATATTTAATTTTTGTTTTATATATTGATTCAAAGATACAACATTATCTAAGTATACACTCAGATGGAGGCTAAATTTGTTTCTTCCCCATCTCTAGGTAATCATTGATGAAGATTGGGTGGTGGGTCATTCCATACCACTTGGGACATTAATTTATTATCATGCAATGACTTTGTATTATGACGTGTTTTCAATAAAGTCTGTTTCCTAAGCCTTGTCCTTAGATTGCAATTCTTGGAAGTTCTGTATGCTAAATGTGTGTGGTATAATGGCTGAAGCTTTGGGCTAGGAATGGAGAGGAATAAGTCCATGTCCCCCTTAGTCATGGAAGCTTATGGGTGAGTAAACCGTTCTCAACATTCTTGGCCTCATGTTACCTGTGTAGTATCATTGCACATAGGATAGGGTATCTGCAGAGCTTTCCAAATGCATGAATTTTCTATGAGGAGAATAAATGGAACCCAGAAAATGGTAGGGGTGGGGAATAGAAAAAGGTGTCTGTCCTGGAGCAGAGTGAAATGGCGAAAGCTGACTGCTAAAAAGGATCCTTATATGGTGTAACATCTTCAAGTCTATGTATGTTATCATTTTATTCTCCATCTCAGCTGACTTACTCTGTCCATTCTAGTTTCTGACCTCTACTCTTAAGCAATATTCTATTGCCACATAGAATTACATCCTCATAAAATCCCAGAGTTGAAAGGGACATTTAGGCCATTGAATTCCACCTCCTGCCTTCACTTTGGAGCAAGAATCAAAACTTAGGTATCCCAAAGGAATACAATGTAGTCTCCACATAAATACTACCAGTCATGAAGAGACCACCATCTTCAATACAGATAAATAAAGGGGAGGTGGGGGTGGGACACAACATTGAATGCATCATGGTTTCACACAATATCTGACAAAATTATGTATTACACAGCATTGGATGATAACATCACATTTTGGTGCCCTCGTTATGCTGGCTGGGGAATTCTGGGAGTTGAAGTCCACACATCTTAAAGTGGCCAAGTTTGAAAAACACTTCACTAAAGCATAAAACTTCTGATTCCCTAAATAATCTTTCCCTCTCACCACCCCTCCTCAAGGGGATTTCAAATCTGTGAGTCCTGAGGATACTATGATGAATGTCTTCATCTTGAATTGCATGGAAAAATGAATGGGGAAAAAGGGAAAGTGGGAAGAAAATCATTCTTGGACATCATCTCCAATCAGTTCCTTCCCTATTTTATTGAGGGTTCAAAGAATACATAATAATACGTAGAAGAGTCCATTTCTGGGAATGGTACTTGGATTTTGGTTGAAATAAAACCAGGCATGCCGCATGCTGATTCAAACTGATATCTTCTCGGCATAGTATATGGATATTTATGGGAACTGAGAGACAAATATCGGTAGAGATGGTATCTCAACCTCCTGTATAAAATTAAGTGCTGCATCAGTGAAGGTGTTACATTTTCTCTTTTTGCAGTTGAAGAGGAGTGCTAATTAGAACAACTACAAAAGAGTTGCAGAGATTGTCCATGTTGGATTGCCTCCAGAGGACCTCCTATCTTGGGATGCCACTTGAAATTTGGCCCCAATGATATCAACCTTGAGTACATTCTAGCTATAGTGCATGGATACTCATGGG